AACAGTCTGCTTGATTTGAAAGTTGTGGGGACGATTGCTCTGCCGAATCACGAGCAACACCACTAGTATTAATATCAACAGCCTTCTGATCAACCATCGCGACGACTCTGCGATGGTTGGAGCTAAGCAAGAATAGTTCGAGCGCTCTTGTTCGTGAGCTGTATCTGGGCGTTTGGTTTCTAAATCACTCAAACAGTGCTGAAGTTGTGTAGTATCTATAAACAACTGGAGACAGATGTCGCGGAATGTCGAAAATGGTGTGACGAGGAGATGCATTCTTTATCGAGTCGCGTACTGATCAGCCAAGCCGGCTATCCCGCTCACTGCTGATTGATGCTTCCTGAGAGATTGCCCTGCTCGGTTTGCTTTCTTGCAGCTGTTTCGCACATCGAACATTCACATCAACAGCATCCGATACGGCTGATCCGCGAAACGCATACTTACCTTGTCTCGACTCAACGCTCTAGCTCAGTATCTACCACCTGACCAGAATGTTGTAGAGCTTGCTGCGCATTCGTGAGATACTTAGCATAAAGCAAACGTCGTCCATCCACCAAACGAACTATCATGGCCGACGTCCCTCACCACAAGGCTGAAAAGCCCGACGCCCCATCTTCCACGACGAGCAAGCTCAAGTCCATGTTCCGAGGCATGCGCGAGATGGCGACTGACTTTGGTGACGATTGTGTACCCAAAGATGCGAATGGGCAGCCGCTTGTGAGTACCGTCACGTCTATGTATTCTTCCGTTAGTGCTCACGGGGAACAACACAGGAAACTCTGCGCGGAGCACCAATCGGATATCGAAGTGCCCTAGACAAACAGCCAAATGGAACGGACAAGAGCATGAGTATGACGCAAGCAAACTTCCCTCCGATCGAGTACGTCGTTTCTCTGCATCCAAACCACTTATATCCTTTCTGGTGTCAATGTGAATTAAACGCAGTCGGTTCAAGCAGTCCAAACCGTGACTCGCACGACGGTAGCGATGACGGATGAGAGCTTGCGCGAAAGACTAGCGTTGTGAACATGGGTTCTGGTGTATTGTTTCGGTGTATCAAATAGTGACGGCCAGTGATTGCAATGGAGAGAAATCGAAATCGTGAAGCCTCCGTAAGCCTCAAGAAATCCGATTGTAACGCCCCAGCTAGCAAAAGAAACAGCGTGATTAGACCTAGCTATCGACTACCGCGAAGTTGATTGGCATGAAGCCCATGTGAAAAGCACGTATCCATCGTCATCGCTGCGCATAGGTCGGAACAGTGGCATCCGAGCTCTGATGAGAGGGCGACCGACGTGCACACTCGTAATGCTAGCTGAGAGCCCTCCTTCGACGTGTGACTTCAGGGATAACGCAACGCGTCATAGTCATCGTCCGATCAGTGCGACGAGGAAAGGGCATGCGCTGAACGCGCGTACCATTGTCGAGTTTTGGTGACGTAGCCAAGGAGCAAGACACTCGGAGTAGCAACCTGCCACTGCAAGAGCGTGGCGTCAATCCCAACGGCGTCGAGAAGGCCCGAGTCCGTCGTCTTAGCAATACATGCGACAAAGTGGGTATGGCGCGGCGCAAATGCATGGTAGACGTACTCGACGTAGAATATTTCGCCGAAGAGCAAGCACCAAAGCAGCTAAGAACAGCAAACAGCACCAGACACATCGCAACGCCACCTGAGCTAGTCTCGAGAAGCAGGCCACGCCTTCAGTTCAAGAAGCCAGCACGACAAATCTTCCTCGAGCTCGATACTTCGGATGAACAACAAAGCTAAAGTCTGAAGTGGTGTCTGTTGTGTTTTCGAGGTTGGGAATGATGTCGAAAGGCTCTTCAAGTATCTGCAGTTCGGAACGTTAAGTCGCACCAAGAGCTAACTGTACTGCGACGAAGCAAGAACTGGAACTGCTGAGAAAACGCACCTACTTTCCCTCCACTTCGCAATCAACACCGAAAAGGAAAGACAGAAGGATGTAAAGTATGGATGCACCACAGCGCTAGAGCCGCCAGATACGCAAGAGTCCATGGCGTCGTGCTCCACCCAAAGAGGCGCCAGGCGGCGAGGATGGTGACGGTGACGATGCACTCACTGGTCACATCCAGCGCCCCCTGAGTCGAGTTTGTGGAAGAGTAAGTAGCCAGCCATTCCTCAGCTCAACTCACCGACGCAAGCAACCCTAAAACAAGGGCAAGTAAGTGGACCCCCCTCTCCCTCACCCACATCTCACATCCTCTCCCTCACCCACATCTCACATCCTCTCCCTCACCCACAACTCACATCCTCTCCCTCACCTACATCTCACATCCTCTCCCTCACCCACATCTCACATCCTCTCCCTCACCCACATCTCACATCAGTCAAATCCATCCGATCCAATCTCCTTACTCACTCACCTACGGGGACAAAGTCGGCATCAAGTCGGCGAGTCGGCGAGTATAGGAGGTCCGACCGTACGACTAGCGCTGATGACGATGTACCCGCGTCATCATCTGCACTCAGAGCTTGCTCTCCTCCTCCTCGTTCCAAGAGGAGATCACCGAGCCTAGCAACCTCGCCAAGTTACAGTGCATCCTCACCATCCCCAGCTGAGCAACAACACGACCGTGTGTTCTACAGTACACCAAGAAGCATGTGTCCCAACTCGTGTCGAATTCCGTGCAAATCCCCGAGATCAACTTGAGCACTTGAGCAAACCACACGAGCAAATAGTAAGAGCGATAATTATCCATTACTGTAATACCTTAGTGTACGAGGGAGAGGGTTACGATGCACGTAATACTATGACGATACAGCACTTATAAGTCGACCTGGACGAGAGAGAGGGAA